TCGCATTGAATAAACAGACACTTCAGGAGAGAATCTTACTGTTCTTCTGCAAAGATTAAATTCTTTTCTTTACTTTATTAAAAGATGGGACCCAGCGTTCATTCCATCGAGCAGTTTTTCTCTGCAACTAAAATCAAGTATAATTTTCCCTTTAAGATCAAATGAACAACTGGAGAGAAACTTACAAGATATTAAAGCTTGGGGCACATCACGTGGCACTGAGTGGGTGTTGAGCAATGATGCTTACAGGGAGAAAAGGAGGGACACGGCAGCAAAATCAGAAATAATAGATGCTGCTACCAAAGGAAGATGGGAGTTGAAGACGAAACAATTCTGAAATGTAATGCTACTCAATGGGAAAAATGGGATTTATTTTAGAAATAACTCGCCACAACTTCTATTCTATAAAGTGAAGTGTGTCCGTAAATGTTTGTATGTCATTATTTCTAAGCTTCACTGTTTTTGTAGAAATGAGGAATATCAAAACTGGCTTTCTGTTTTGTCCGGTCTAGCGGGCTTTGCTCAGAGAGGTGTGCTCCGAGGAACCCAGGGGGTCCCCTGGCGGCCGCGCCGGGGAAGCCGCTGGGGTGTCGGTGAAGCAGCCAGTGAGACGCACAACATCGCTCTCCATTCTACGTTCTTTGCCGGAGAACTGACTCCCACTTCACCAATTTTATAAAGGCGGTGTCTGTGTACGAGTCTGTTTGAAGAAAGCTTCCTGGCTTTAAAAAGCGTTTGAAATCCCTGATTGGCTACGGATGGCTAAGCCTTTTATTTTTATAGACGAGGAAGATGAGCTCAGGAAATTTCATGTGACTTACCTGAGGCCAAGCAACTATTAGCGTACTGGCAGGTAGTTCGCAGAGCAGCTTGCTTGCTATTTTTGCTGCTATGGTTATTGACCCGGTTTGGGGGGAGGATGTGGGAAGTGGTGGCCGCCAGGGGCACAAGTAGAGGTGAGGACCACAGGTTAAGGACAAAGTGAGGGATGTTGTGACAAAGGCTTCTGCTTTTGTTGCAAAAATGGGAAAGCAAGCTAGAAGCTTTCCCCATATTTTCCCTCCTTCTAGAACGCTGCTCTTAAATACATGAATGACTGCAATAACTTTTCCTTCCTAGAATGCTCGGAAGGGCTCAAATTGGAGTAGCTGTTTTATTATACATGCATATTATACATATAATATATATTAAATATATATGTGTATGTGTATTATATAGGGATCTGTGTGTGCATTTATATTCCTATATATACATACATGTATATGTACATATGACATATATATATATATATGACATTTTGATAACAAGATTGATGTAAAATTTGGATGGCCTATAAAATGTGGTTATAGAATTCAGAGAAAATTCCTTGTTTGCAGAGAAGATTCAAAGATTCATTAGACATTGGCCTTAGAATAGATTGGATTTGCCAGTGGAAGAGAGTCCTTTCACCTCTATAATTCAATTATTCTAGCATGGCTGGAGGACAGGGGCTGGGCAATAGCACAATAGCTGGAAGGAATGGATAGAAAAATGGTTGGAAGACCATTAAGTCACTTGATTATGGAAAGGAAAGTAGGGAAATATTTTTAGGTGAAGGAGTAATGCATTTAAAAGTTGGGGAGAGACTCCTGTGATGATCAGTGATGGAGAGGGAGAGGTGAGGTTACAGTCAGAAACAGGATGAGAGATTCTTGGGCATCTCAGTAACGTGAAGGGGGAGGTCATTCCATTCCACGTAAGAGACCAAACAAAGAGGCACAAAAGGGCTCTATCTGAGATGCAGTAATTAAAAGATGAATTACTAAATGAAAGAGCAGTTTCAGGCAAAAGAGAGAACATCAAAGAAGGAAGACTAAATTCTACAATGGGAAACAGAAAGTGAAGAGCAGACAAAGAAAGTCTAAGATGACGCAATTTGGACTGAATAAACTTTCCAAAATGTTAAGAGGGAAAGTCAGTGCCAAAGGAGACACAAAATAAGAGCAGAAAACTCATTGCTCTCTTGTTGAAATTAACATGGAGGAATATAATTAAAGGAAGACATATGTGTTTGAAGAAATCCTAGGCAGCTTACCTGGTAATAGCAGACGTCTAAATAATGTGGTCATTAAAATTGCAAACTTAAGCTTCTCTCTTATTTGAGGTGGGGGTGGTGAGGACGAGTTCATGCAGAATAAAGCAATTACCACACATGAGCTCGAGTTAAGGTTTCCTGCCTCCCGACGGCATGCCTGGCTTTGTGCCATGAAATCAGGGTAGACAAGACTGAGGCGTGTCACTGGGATTCCGGCAAGTTGCAAACTATATATTTCAGGGCAGAATCACGCCTTTTCAACTTTAGGAATGAATTCAGGAAGGCTTCTATTTAGCATAAGGGGGATTCTTGCATTAAAAAGATCAAATTAGAAATCACTAGCACAGATGAAAAATGTAGAATTTGTGCGTGTGTGCGTGTGTGTGCGTGTGTGTGCGCGTGTATACGTGCACCATGATGAAATAAAAACGGACTGGAGCATGGAAAGTAATTTAACCGTTTAAAGGTACAATTGTTTCATTAATATTTACTTTAAGCTGATTAAATATTCATGATGCCTTGCCTTCTCTCCTCGTCTAACAGTGTTGCATTCATGGCCATCTGCACCAGCTCAGCACACGGGAGGTCTCAATTAGCCATTCAGGCTGACAGAAGACTCTCAGCCAAGGGGCCCTTACCCTGCGGTGGGCTGCAAATAGATGATGAATTTGTTTGTGGGCCTAAGCAAGAGGGAAACAGACTTGCCCTGGGCTGGGATTATCGGAGAGCACAGGGCACAGCATCATAGTGCCCTAAAGAACACAGAGAGGAAGATTTCTGGAGTATCAAAATAGACATGAGCAAGTGGAAAATCTCAGGGTGCCTGACGTTCCGAGGGGAGCAGTACTCAGCATGTGAGCAAGGATGCAACTGGGGCTCTTGACACCCAGCACCATGCTCCCATCTGCCACCATGAGGCTGAGCAACAGATGACCTCGTTTCTAATTCTCGTTTTAAAATAGAACTGGAGGTGTCGGCCCCTGAAGGAGGTGCTGGGAGGCAGTCACACCTGTCAGCACTGCTAGTTGCTGTGGTCTCTGGCTGTCTTATACCGACCACCATGGCAGGACTGTTCACCTTGTGTTGTAGCTGCCTGCCCCATGTTTATCTCGCCTCTAAACTGTGAGATTCTGGAAAACCTAGATTATGCTGTGTTTATTTTGGTATTCCAAGGGTCTAGCTAGCACCCTACTCAGTAGACACAGTAATTCTTTTTTCCAATAGTTTATCCTTTTTGAGACGGGTTGGATATTAGAACGTGGTACCCCGTAGCTGGGAGGTTCTATCTACTGTGTGAGTGCTCGCCCACCCTGGAGATGCTCACACATGAGGCAGGAGTAATGTTGTTGTCCATCATTAAAAATCAAATGCTAGCTGTTTTCTTTTTAATTTCTGCTAGACTCTCCTGAAACAGACACTGAGAGGCGCATAGACCCATGGCATCTGTGCAGAGTGATGGCTCTCTAAGTACGCCCATGACCTAATAATTCCCAGAACACGTGACTATGTTACCCTGCATGGCAAAGGGGACTTTGAGGGCCCACTCAAAGTGAAGAGTTGCGATCTAAGGAGGTTATTCTGGGTTTTTCTAATCAACCCAATCTAATCACATGAGTCCTTTAAAATGGAAGAGGTAGGCAGAAGAGTGATACCAAATGAGAAGGATTTGACCTGTTAACTGCTGCTGGCTTTGAAGACACAGAAGAGGTCACAAGATAAGGAATGTGAGTGGCTTCTCAAAGCTGGGGCCTCAGTCCTACAACCGCGAAGAACTAACGTCTGCCAACAACCTGCATGCGCAGGAAATGGCTTCTCTCTAGATTCTCTGGAAAGGGACAAAGACTGCTGACACTTGAATTTTAGCCCGGCAGGACCCTGTTGGACGTCTGACCTTCAGGGCTGTAAGATAATAGATCTGTGTTGTTTTACACCACAAAGTTTGTGGCAATTTTTTAGGGCAGCATCTCTGACGAGTGGACGGGGCTTCCCATGAAGGTTCCAGATCCTCTAAAGATTTTAACAACACTGGGGCTGAACTAAGACATTTCCCAGTGGTCAGGATGAAACCAAAGTGCACACAAATTGCCCCTCTCTCTCCTTAGAAAGGGGCATGGCATTTTCTTTTTTAATCGCCATCTGTTTGGGAGCTCTTTGGGCTCCATTTGCTTTAAGGAGGGGAGCAAGATAAGAAACGTGATTTTAAATTTGTATTATTTAGTTTGTTTCAGCAAATGTCTCCAAGAGCTATGTCATGTACAAAGTGAAATCACCTCTGCGCTGTATCTTTAAAAGCCGGGGAAGTGCGCGGAGCAGCAGCGGCAGTCAATACCAATTTCCACACCTGGATCGATACCATCGGATGGCTCTGTAGCTGCACAGATTGTTTCACACACATACTCAGGGAAAGTGGGGTGGGCGGGGGAGCCCGGGAGAGAAAGGGAATTGGTTTTAATGATTTCATGGCCCTGAGTATTCCCTCTCTCCCTCTTTTCTGGAAGAGAAATAAATACATAAAATTAGACATCAAATTTACGAAACTGTCTGTCTGCATTCTGCCCAGCTTCTTTCCCTAGGCTGTCACCAGCAGTGGCATCCGATTTAGCAAATAGCCTTATTCTGTGTGTGGGGTTGTACGTATGGACGAGAAGAAAGTGATAACACTGTTGGCAGTGATGTAATAATAAAAACGCTCTGTATTTACAGCAGGCCTCTCCTCAAGGACTTTAGAGGCTGTTTCTTTAATTTACAAACAGAAACAAGGACCAGGAGATCGTTCACCAGCACCTATTAACTTCTCTGCTGTGTCTCCACGCACGTGCTTGGGGAACACGGAACTCAGATGTTTTCTCAGGTGCCTTCACGGCAGCCTGCCACTAGTTCTCAGTAATAGAGTCTACCTCGTGAGTGGGACTGGGTGGCTATTTTTCACAAGGCAGGGTTGTTGGAGCTGCCAAGAGACTGCAACTGTGCTAGAACCAGCAGGGAAGCAGAAGGATCCGATGCCATTAGCATTGCTGGAAGCTTTCCCAGTAGGTCAGGGTCTCAACCGTTTCTCCTCCTGGGAGTGGACACAGCTTTGACTCTACAGCGCCCCCGTGAGGCCCCAGCGATCGCGCTCCGGGGCCACGCAGCCCACGAGCTCACCTCCGGAGAAGGCTGACCCTCCCTCAGAGGAGGCAAACTCCACATCAGGGTGAGCCGAACAGAGGAATGAATATGTCCCCTCTGGGCCCTGACAAAATGGGCAAGCGTCATCCTCGGCTCGGTAAGCGACCAGCTCGATCTTGAAGGCAGCGCAAATGCCTTTCAGGGCTGGTTGTGCACCAGCCCCAGTGGGAAGGCGGACAGGTTGCAGGAAACAGTGACTTCTCGGGAGAGCGAGTCTAAGCCGTCTCTTCCCCTTCGTCCTCTCTTACATTTCCTTCCACTTTGTGGTTTGACAAAGCCTTGCCATTCACATGATCTCACCTACTCCTCCCAGCGGCTCTGTGCCTTT